GTCGCGAGCCCCCAAGCAACAGCTTTTTTCTGTGTTTAATTTTACTTTTCCTTCATTTTTTCGCGAGTAGCACATGTCTCCTTGTGTACGACCGACAAACCTTACTGGACATAAAAGACGGTCTTTCTTATAACTTTCCGGAGTTCAAGTTTTGCAACACGGACGCTCCGTTTGCAGACCCCCCATTCATCTCACCTGAGACGCCTTTGTTCTCTGGCCCTGGAGGCCGCAAACGCAGACGCAGAGGGAGAAGATCTGGCGTTCTGGTTCGACTGAGACGGCGCACTAACAGACCACCGTTACCCAGTTTATTACTGGCTAATGTGCAGTCTCTGGAGAACAAGCTGTGCGAGCTTCGGGCACGGATCTCATTCCAGCGAGAGATGCGGGACTGCTGCGTGATCTGCCTCACAGAAACCTGGCTATCAGACAAGGTACCGGACTCCGGAATACAACTACCGGGTTCTCCGTGCATCGCGCGGACAGGTCACAGGATCTTACTGGGAAAAGCAGAGGCGGTGGTGTGTGTTTCATGATCAACAACAGCTGGTGTGATTATGCGAACGTGCACCCGGTCAAATCCTTCTGCTCACCGGACCTGGAGTACCTGATGATTAAGTGCCGGCCATTCTGGCTACCGAGGGAATTTACAGCAGTGATTATTACGGCTATTTACATTCCCCACAAGCCGACACTGACCGAGCACTCAGGGAACTGTACAGCGCGATCAGCAGCGAGGAAACCGCACACCCAGAGGCGGCGTTTATCACAGCCGGAGACTTTAATAAGGGAAACCTGAAGAAAGTCTCACCCAAACTCCACCAACACATCCATTTTAACACTCGTGGAGATCGGCTACTCGACCACTGCTACACCTCTTTCCGGGATGTGTACAAAGCCCTCCCCCGCGCCCCATTCGGCCAATCAGATCACCGCTCCATCCTGCTCCTGCCCGCCTACAGGCAGAAGCTGAAACAGGAAGCTCCAACCCGGAGGCGGTGCACTGTTGGACGGACCATTCGGAGTCTGCGCTGCGGGACTGTTTTGATCACGCGGACTGGGAAATGTTTCACGTGGCTGCTAGGGACATTGATGAATACACAGACTCAGTCTGCGGATTTATCAGGAAATGCGTGGAAGATGTCGTCCTATCCAGAACAGTTAAATCCTTCCCAAATCAAAAAACCCTGGATTAACGGAGATGTTCGCGCGGCACGGAGCACCGCCTTTGCCTCCGCGAACACATCGGACTACAAACACGCACATTACCAACTCCGGAAGACGATCAAAGCAGCCAAACGTGAGTACAGGGACAGGGTGGAGCAACAGTTTGACAACCCTCGGAGTATGTGGCAGGGACTAAACACGATCACAGACTTTAGAGGGAAAACCAGCACACCGCAGACCACGGCCTCTCTGTGTGAGGATCTAAACGTATTCTACGCTAGATTCGACACAGCGAACACCATGAGACCGGACAGTGTGCGCACCGCGGATGACGTCAGTGCGCACACTGTGTCTGAGGAGGATGTGCGGAAGTGCTTCAGGAAGGTGAACGCGCGCAAAGCTACTGGTCCGGACGGGATTCCCGGCCGTGTCCTCAAGTGGGGAGGATCATCAAGGACTCCAGTCACCCCAGCCATAAACTGTTCAGACTACTTCCATCAGGAAGGAGGTTCTGCAGCATCCGGTCCCGTACCAGCAGACTGAGAGACAGCTTCTTCCATCAGGCCATCAGACTGCTGAACACGTCATAGACACCTCAGCTTCACTACTGGAACTTTAACATTATGCACTCCATACTGTACAGTAATGCCACTGTTTTGCACATGTCTCACTCTGTATATTTTATTTTATATATTTTATTTATTGTTTACTCTATTTAATTTGTAAAATATGTGTACACACACACACACACACACACACACACACACACACACACACACACACACACACACACACACAGAGAGAGAGAAAAATATTTAGTATACACATCCAGAAGTACATATATTTATTAGTTTCAGATGTAGCCATTCTTGTATTTTTTGTTTACATTATTGTATTTTGCACAACTCTGTTGCTTGTGAAGCTCGCACACAAGAATTTCACTCACATGTGCTGTACCAATGTACCTGCACATGTGATGTGACAATAAAAGTGATTTGATTTGAAGTCATCACCTTTAAGGTGCGCGTTAGAGAGTTATACCAGAGAGTTGAAAGTAGTTTTAATTTGAGGCTCTCTTTTTCACAGGAGCTACAGTATCCAGAGTCATATGCAGTGAAGAAATAAATTTATAACAAGATAATCGACCTCTGTTGGACTAACGTTCAAGTAACCGTGCTGCACATGTCATTGTAGAAGACAGTGGATGAATTTATCCCCACTGCTGTGTAATAGGGCTGCTCGATTATGGCAAAAATGATAATCACGATTTTCACTGAAATTGAGATCTCGATTATTTGACGATATTTATTTAACCCTTACGACCTACTATAGAACCAAGTCCGCCAGAGCTTATATTATTTTTTTACATGTTATAGTGCCATTGGGAGCATTTCAAGTTGCTATACATCAATACAACTGTTATAGCCCATATTTTAATAATATGTATGCATTAAGTCCATAGTAACTACATTAATTACAAAAAAGTGCAATAAACTACAAAAAAATTGAAAATCATTTTTGTTTTTTTACATATATTTCTTGGAGAAATTTAAGAGGTTTGTCCCTCAAAACTTTAAATGCAAAAAATAGTTTACAACAACAGGAAATTTATTTTGAGTGTCTTCATAATTTTATTTTGGAGATAAAGCAATTTTATATGTGCAGGAAAACAAAAAAACAATCCTATGATTCAATTGCAAAGAAACAGCAGGTGCATCAAAATAAAAACTATTTCCAGCAGTGCAATATGAGTTCTAAGCATCCCAGCAACTATTCAGAAAAGTCAAACATGATTATAAAACACCAGTATAGGTTTTTAAGGCCTACAAGTAAAAAAAACTACATGTTCCGCGAAGATGACGTCACTTCCGGTTTCTGGCAGGAAATGGCGGACATGCGATAGTTCGCAGCTGACGTCTATTTCAATGTGGAAGTGTTACGAACAGCTGATTCAGATGGCAAAGGCTGTTTCTGGATATTTATGTTTTGTTTCCTGCAAGCGCTTTTATGGCAATTTTTGCCAAAGCTTTATGTGGAAGGAAACCGTGACGAGGACAAGCTGATGGCATAAGATGTAAGTACAACTCCTCCGTTCATATGCAAAAAAATTATTGCGCTAGCTTAGCGGTTCCGGTTCTACAGGGATTTAAAAATAGTTACACAAAACAGAGCGTGTGCTCTGACCGGTGTTTCTGGGAATTTCTCCTACCCCGTAAACCGTCCTACCCGTAGTTCCTGGCATGTGCGCATGCGCACACCAAAAAGGGAGCTAAGCGCATCGGCTGTGATTTTCACGCTACTCCATTGTCATATTTGCAGGAGAATAGGTATGTAGTAAGTATTAGTACTTTTTATTGACGTTGATACTTGATTTTTAAGCCTTTGTGATGTTTGTCAATATTAAAGTGAAGTCGCTATCTGCTTTCTGCACAAAACTGTCGAATTTGCAGATTCGGTGAAGTCTGCTGTCAAGTTACCGGACACGTGGTATTTGCACAACACTTTTGAGTCCGCAGCTTCGGTGTTTTAAGGCTGTTTCGGTAATTTCGTTATTTAATAAGTTAAATTATTTGCATTGTCAACTGCACATATTGAAGCTATAAGAAATGTTTACTGACATTCGTAGATATGGAGAAGAAGTGGGAAGAGATTTACCGTTCATTTCTGCGGGCTCCTACCCTTCAGGATATGACAAGGCTCAGAGGCAAACCTCAGAAGATATGCCTCAAAATTCAAACAAAAGGGTCAGTAATTTACTGTTAATACTAACACTCATATATGTGGTTAATAATTTCTAAATATATATTGTTTTACTGCAGATGGAGAACTCTTTGTTGGAACCAGAAGAGTAGTAAAAACCATGGATGATGCCAGGAAGATATTTCATGAGTTTCATTCATCTCCAATTGGAGGACACACTGGCACACACAAAACGCTAAATGCAGTGTGTTCCAGATTTTACTGGTTTGGTATGACAGTTGACATTAAACATGGTATGTATTAACTGTTTGTACTGTTGTTAAATAGTGTTTAAATAAGCACATTTTTGATATCAGTTAAAAATATAAATAAATATGGTTAATTAGTGATATTACAGTAATAACCCGTAGCCTGGCAGAATTTGAAGACACGCACACAAACTATTGTGCTAAATAGTTTGTTCGTTAGAGAATATGTCATTAAGTGTTTTTGTTTTTTACAAATGAGAATGTTGAACATTTACGTGAACTCCATAATATTTTTACTTAAAGATTCAGGAATGTGACCCAGTGTCAAAAGTTGGGAAACCACTGACTGCTGTGCAACCGTTGCAGTGTATTCAGGTAAATATTATGCCCCGTTACCCATCAAACTATGCTTGTAGCTCATATTCATAAAGGCAGGAGGTTGCAACTAATTTTAACCATCAATGTTAATGTGTACATTATACAAATTGTTATTCAAATTATTAATTTGTCCTTGATAGGTGTCTGAAGTGTGGGAACTTATTGGTATAGATCTTACTGGACCTCTTCCTAAAACTTCAAGCGGACTTCCAGTATATACTTACTGCAACTGACTACTTTTCAAATGGGTTGAAGCTTTCCCATTAAAACGAAATCTGCATCTGAGGTAGCCCAGCACTTGTGCTCCATTATATATAGACATGGCTGCCCCAAAAGGATTTTGTCAGACCAAGGCAGAGAGTTTGTGAATGAAGTAAGTGTTAAATAATTTTCAGTTACATTTTTTAACTTTACTTCACTGGGGTCAAAGATTTTTTCTTGTGTGCTTGTATAAGCAGTATAACCTTGTCCTTATCTGTTGAAGCTCAACTCTGATCTTTGCAAGTTATTGCAAATTGAAAGAAGTGTCACAGCAGCATACCATCCACAGACGAATGGTCTAGATGAAAAGACCAATGACAACATAAAAAGGTATGCCTAATTTTTATCTATCAGTTTTTAATACATTACTTATGTTATTCAACTTAATTGTTACTTAATAATTTATTAATTTCTTTTACTTCTAATTAAACTTTGTCTTACTTACTGTGTTTACATATTTCTATGCCTGCATTTAGAGCCCTCCGAAAACTGGTGAATGACAGCAGAATAACTGGGATCTGTATCTAGAGCCCACCCTGTTTTCACTTCGGTCAAAGTACACACCACAACAAAATACACACCTTTTTTTCTGATGTATGGAAGAGAGGCAGTATTTCCATCAGAAGTGCCTGTTCAAGTGCCGGTGAGTGTTTGTCAAATTCTTTCTATGTTAGAACTAAGAATTGAAACCATTTAAGAAAAAAACCCAGTAATGTCTTTATGAATATGATATCATCTTGTTTTAATTGCTAATATCTACAAAATTTTAGATTTCCAACATCATTCTGCCAGACGACAAAAGTACAGTGACTATGTACAGTCTGAAAGTGAAGCACAACATGCAGTTAAAGAAACTGCACAAGAAAACATTGCGAAGTCACAAGACAAGGCAAAAGGTTGCATATGCCAAGGCGGGCCCTGAAAAAGTACAAAATGTTGTGTACAATGTAGGGGATCAAATTCTGCTTCTAAATATGAGGAAACGTGGGCGAAAAGGAGGAAGACTTGAACCGGATTTTTTCAGGTCCTACACAATTGATGACTTCAGTGGAAAATGTGTTAGACTGAAAAAACGCTGAGGGAAATACTTAAAAGTCTATACAGTATTGACCACATTAAACCCTATAGAACAAGCCACCCTGTCCAAGTCTCAACTCCAGCTGAACCTGTTGAGAGTAGCCCATCTTCTGAGATGTGGCCTTGCAGTCCTCAGCATCAACATGAAGCGCTGCAAAATAACAGATCCTCTGTCATTCAGTTTGCACCAAAATAGCTCAGGTAAAATCAGTCCAAGCACCAGAAGAGCTTGTACCAGTGACCCCCCAGAAACCCAGCACGCAAGAAAAAGGTGGCATAGCTAAAAATCTCATTCTGACCGGTTGGTCAATTGTTGCCTGTTTGGCTAGTCAGATGGATAGAATGTTTTATTTTTTTCTCCCCTCTTGCTAATTTTGACCTGTTGGTCCAATTTTGGCTAATTTCTGATTTACATAAAGCTACTCCCCTCTGGCATGTTTATGTTGTTGGCCCGTTGGCCCTTGTCTGCTTGTGGCCCGTTGGCCATTGACCGTGATTTTCAAATGGCAATTGTTATTACTAAAGAAACTTATCATATTTTGTTTTTTAGTGAAGTGGCTTTGGGCTGCAAAAGACACCGGGCGTGTGGAGGCAGTCGTTGGGCCATACAAATTGTATGACTCTTCTTTTCGCACACTGGAGGATAGTGGGGCTTTCTGATGAGGTTAAGTGAAATAATCATTTTTGGTCCTAGTGGTGGTCTGTAAAAATAATCTTCTTTTAATCCAAACAGGCATTGATGCATACCTGCACTGCCTCATTAAGAAACAAAAGGCAAGTAAGAACGTATGCCAGTTATTTCACAAAGGTATTTTATAAAATTTTGTAATCATTTAAAAAAAAAAAAATAATAATAATAATCTTGCATTTTTTCAGAAACCCGTGTATCAGTTGTCTTGCGTTGTTGCAACCTCTCTGTTTTCTGGGAAGTTTAAATGTGTCAGCAAGGTAATGTAGATGTTATATTGGTTATATAGTGTATGTTATGTAAATAAATCTAAACCTTTATAAACTTAAAATATTCCACAGATGTTGTTTCCGGCTGAGGACATTTGGTTGTGCCCACTGAACTCTGGTGCACACTGGATACTTGTGGTACATGTTCACACCTCATGTGTTTTTTCTCTATTTTGTTTTACTGTTCTTTTTAGCAGCATATTCTTATTTTGAAAATGTTTACAATTGATTATGTTTACTTAAGTGAGTGTAATACACATATTCTACTAAATACAATTTTTATTTTAGGTTGTCAAAATCTCCTCACAATCTGTACTGCTGTTAGACCCTCTTGGAAATGAAGGTTGTTATGAAAGGAAAGTTATGCGTAACTGGAGGTATTCATCATTCATTAATTATCTGTTTTAGGTTGTTTGGTTTGTGGGGGGGGGTTTTCTTTTTATTTAGAGCAAAATGCTGGCTACATTTTAAAAACTTGTTTTGTTTTATTAGGAATTTTCTGAGATGAAAGGAAAGGAAGAGTCCCAAGTGGATTGGAAAATGGAGACTCTGCCACACAACAAGCAGATGGACTCCAGCAGTTGTGGAGTTTTAGTGTTGAAGGTATTTAATAAGCAATTGTATTTAATGTATTAAACTAGAATTAAGTTAATCAATTGCAATTACTGTAACATATTTTACAGTTTGCCGAACACTACCTTCTGAGTGGAGAGGTTACTAGGGTGCTGTCCACTCCAGAAGCCATTGGGCTGCACCGCACTGAATTGCTTGCGAACTGCTAGAACATCAAAGTAAGTTGAGTCATGTGCTTTTGTATTGCAATAGCACTTTCAGTTTTGTTTAAAACTGTTAGGTTTAATGTCAGTGTGTTTCTAGGTAATGCTGATGACTACTGTGTGGTTTGTTCCATGCTGGAAGCCGATCCAGACTCCAGTATGATTGAAATGGTAAAACAAATAAACCACAAATGCAATATACAGTGGCTTGCAATAGTATTCGGCCCCCTTGAACTTTTCCACATTTTGTCACATTACAGCCACAAACACAAATCAATTTTAATTGGAATTCCACGTGAAAGAACCAATACAAAGTGGTGTACACGTGAGAAGTGGAACAACAATCATACATGATTCAAACAATTTTTACAAATGAATAACTGAAAAGTGGGGTAATTATTCATCCCCTGAGTCAATACTTTGTAGAATCACCTTTATCTGCAATTACAGCTGCCAGTCTTTTAGGGTCTGTCTCTACCAGCTAGAGACTGGTAGAGACATTGGTCTTTCATGTGGAATTCCAATAAAATTGATTCATGTTTGTGATGCATCTGACAAAATGTGGAAAAGTTCACGGGGGCCGAATACTTTTGCAAGCCACTGTAGTAATTTATTTTCTCATCAAATTCATAATGTTGGTTAACACACTTACACCCCCCCCCCTTCTCCCTCTTCAGGTGCAGTGCGAGTTTTGTTCCAGATGGGCACATTTTGGATGTGCTCAATATGAGAGCAGCCTGGTCAAGTACCTGTGCGACAAATGTGCATAATTTGTACACTGTTTCTTTTTCAGTTCTTTCTCCCTGTGTTCTGTTGATCTATAAACGTCAAATATATGTATCTGTAAATATATTCAGTAAATATATACTGTAACTATAATGGAGTGAGTTCATTGTCAAAGTTTATATAGTCAGGTGTTCCAATCACTTCAGTGGTGACAGCTGTATAACTTAAGCACCTTGGCATGCAGACTGCTTCTACAAACAAGTGCCAAACCATGCTACCTTTGTTATTATAAAGTAGAAGCATACTCTGACAGGAAGAATTACGTGCCAAAACATGCCACCTTTGTTATTATAAAGTAGAAGCATACTCTGACAGGAAGAATTACGTGCCAAAACATGCCACCGTTGTTATTATAAAGTAGAAGCATACTCTGACAGGAAGAATTACGTGCCAAAACATGCTACCTTTGTTAATAAGAGCAAGAAGCATAATTCTGACGGGAAGAATTACGTGCCAAAACATGCTACCTTTGTTATTATAAACTAGAAGCATACTCTGACGGGAAGAATTACGTGCCAAAACATGCTACCTATGTGAATGTGACCTACAAGCACACTTTAATGGGTAAAAAAAAGTGTCAAACTGAACTGGCTTTATGAATATCAGCTACAAACATACTCTGATGGGCAAAGTTAAGTGGCAAACCGTCATACCTACTTAAATTTGTGCTGGAATTATTGTTTGGCAGCAGAAATGTGCATAAATTACATACAGTAGGACATTTTGCCAAAGTAGGGCAGTTTGTCAGGGGACACCGTAAAATTATCCTAATGGTAGGACGTTTTGCCAAAGTAGGATGGTTTGTCAGAACACCGGCTTTAAAGGGTTAACAATAACAATGTATTGAATAATGACTTTAAAAAATAATATAAAATAGTGTGAGAAATACTGATAACAGTGCAAATGTTTGCAATATAAGAAATAAATGAAAAATGTAAACATCTATGTTTAGTGAACTTTGCAGTGTTGCTCTGTGGTGCAGCTACGACACCGTAGCAAAGTTTACACACTATGTCTACTTGATCCACGTCTGACTCCGCGAACCCATAATGTTTCCAAACCACTGAAGTTTTTTTTTACCTCTTTTCAACCAACGGCAGTCACTCTCCTCTCCAAATAACTTCTGCTTAGCTTTCTGAGCTTCCCTCGGGTCCTCTTAATTGTTGTGACGTGTGTTCGAAACAAGAGGTGCGCTCGTTTTGCCACACGGAGCAGCGCGAGAGTAAAGCACGAGGGAGGTGCTAATAATCGGCTCAGTCACTTTTAATGATCGTTGAAAGCCCAGATCGTAATCGTGATTAAAATTCGATTAATTGAGCAGCCCTACTGTGTAATACATTATTATAAATTAAAATGTTATTAGGGAAAAAAAAAAAAATCAGACAAAAGGTTTTCAGGAAATGTTATTAAATACTCAGTTTCTCTGCTATATATCATAAAAAGATCTAGAAGTGTGATTAAAGTGGAGAGTGGGTTCTTCTACATTTTGATAAAAGCCAATTGAGTCTAATAATAGAATAAATGTTTTTAGCATCTACATGAATGTTAAAATCACCAACAGTAATTATTTTATCTGAGACGAGCACTAAATCAGATAACAAGTCTGAGAAATCAGACAGAAACTGTGTAAGGCCCAGGTGGACGATAGATGATCACAAATAAAACTGGTTTTCAACAAGCCTTCAAATATATTAAAACTCTGAGTCTGATTAATAAGCTGGAGTGCCGCCACACCGCCTCAGCCTGTGCTTCGAAGATTCGGAAAATTAGTATAACTCGTGGTTCATTTAAACTAACAATCCTCCTCGTCTAACCAGGTTTCTGTAAAGCAGAAAAAAATCAATTTGTTATTAAATTTTTAATTAATGTACTAATTAATGGCCTGTTTAATAATCCACATTTTTGCTTCGGTCTTTGCTTGAGTCGTGGATACCATGTTGTTCTTTTTTTGTGATTTTTTTTTATGTTTAAATAGTTTTTTTGCATTTTTTTGTCTGGATGCATTGATGATGATCATTTATCATCATCATCAGCAGCATAGAGGCAGTGTGGAATGCCAGCCTGTCTGATTCTGCAGTTTTAACCCCCCCCCCCCAATTCTAGCAGCAGATGGTGAGTACTATTTTTGATATGTCCCTCCTTAGTTTATCCTAACGCAGCAGCACTGATCTAAGTTGACCCTCCACAGTACTCCTTCACACTCAGTCTCTGTGCTTCTGTGGGTAGCAGCTGGCACCAAAATCAATCCTCTTAGGCAACAAAGCTCACCCATATCACAACTTATGAAGAGAAGCCATGGTATCACAGGCTTTAAGCTACCATGACACATCTTCTACAATGTTAAACACGAGTGTCTAAAATGACACACTGGATGGACAGTACAGTGACACAGTGATTAGCACTATAACCTCACAGCAAGAAGTGTTTGAATGGGTTGAAGTTCACTATCTGGCCACGGGCCTTTTCTCAGAGACATGCAGTTAATGGGGAGAATCTAAATTACCTATAGGTGTGAATGTGCGTGCGCTGTCTTTCTGTGTTGGTCTTGACACAGACTGGTGATCTATTCAGGGTAGTACCCTGCCTCTCACCTTATAACAGCTGGGACAGCCCCTCCACAATCGATAAGTGGAATATGGATGAATTGCATGGCTAGATTACGTGAAAAACATGAATTATAACCTGACAGCTTTATGTGATGTTTTACGTAAATGTTAAAAATGGACTGGACTAAATACAAAAGTTGTTCTTGCAAACATTTGACAATACTTTTAATTATGAAACATGAGAATACATTTTAGCCGAAACTGAATTTTAAACTGACATTTTTTTTTTCAACTATACGATACTACTACTCTATATCAAATGTTTATATATATTATATTATTCTATATGTGATATGACATACTGGGAGAGATGGCACTGTTTTGTGCTGATGCCACAACCTGTGCTAATAGTGCAAATTATAGACAAAATGTATTTATTAAAACTATGACTTAAAATTTTGTACTTCCTTGGATAAACAACTGCTCCAGAACACACATGAAAGTTAGCAAATGAATGTAATGCAAAAAATAAATTAAAATGTGGTACTTGGAGCCAGTTTTATGCCGAAAATCTACTTTGTTATGTGTTCAATATAAGTTACAATGGAGTTTTACTCAGGTTAAAAGAATGATACCCTCTGTACAATCCCTATGGTAAATTGTTGTTTCACCTTCAAAGACTCCCAGTCATGGCAGTTTTTGGAATCACCTGCCAACAGTTATGGAAGATTGTGGGATCATAATGTAAAGCAATTTAAAGGGTGAAAAAGTCTTCAAAGGGAGTAAGACACTGGACACTGGTTAAACAAATCTCTTCATTTGGGCAGAGTGGGGCTGAAACTCATGTGAAGAAAACAAATCATCATTGTTTTATTTTTAGCAAGCACATGTCTGTGCTTGTCTGGTGGGAGGAATTAACAACAGGGAGAAGAGACAATTCAGAGGACTCAACTCTGTAAACATCTGGTTTCCTAGCCGACTTTATGCATGTATCATGCATGCAGAATAAAATAAAACAAAACCACTGGGATGGATAACTCTGTAGGTGGCGAGCTGGCTGCAGGTTATGTGCTGTCTTGTGTAAAACAAGAGTGGTTTAAAAAAAAAAAAAAAAAAAGATACCTACCTGTTCGGCCTGGTCTTTTTCAGCTTCTTGGCTTGCAGAGGAGGGTCCCTGGGTGTGGGTTGAAGGTTCACTTTCTCCTCCTTCATTCTCACTAGATTCTCTGGATAAACTGGACTCTGCCTGCATAAACACAGTCAATTTATGTAATCTACACCATGCCTTGCGTTTTGTAATGGGGCCAGACCTCAAATCTATATATTCATCCTACATTCTTCCAGTAGCGGATTTTTAAAGGTCAAGCTGCTCATATTTAATTTTAATTCTCATCCTGCATAGTTCTCAAACAAAAGAAATGTAAAAATAAGGGGCATGCCTATTGCGCTACTGCAAAACATTGGTGAGAACTATCTTAATAGGTATTTGCTAAATTATGCACTGACTTTATAATCTTTGTAGTGGGATTATGTTAGCTTCCATTCCAATGTTCAATAATGAACGGTTAACACAATGAACAGTGCTTTTGGCCCATCTGCTCTGTGGTTCTAATAAATAAAGGCTCTGGATATAATCTGTGGAGTTCCAGTATTCTCAATATAATTATGGAAAGTTGTGATACGAGTTAAACAATTATTATCAAAATCAGCTTTGTTATGAATTGTCATGCACAGAGAAAATATAAAACAAAAGAACTATGAATTTAACCCGCCTCATGTAACAGCCAGAGTTTGTACCTTAAAGTTGATTTGCTGAGCCAGTTCTTTAGCCGTATGGTCTTCAGCACCAGGGTTGCTATTGGGGGTTAGATCCAGGAGGGCAGAGCGCATGGTACAGCCACAGGTCTCACAGCAGAAGTCCTGGGACCTGTCAGAGAACAGGTGGCATGTGGTGATGTCATCTTGCCACAAGGACTTGTTTGAGTTTCACACTTGGAACCTTCTAGATAATGATCGTGAATAAAATTGAATTCACTCCATGACTGATCAACCTACTACAGCAGGAACTCAAAACGGTACTCTCTATGGGACCTACATGCCGATACACATGCCCTATGAAATCAAGGTATGCTCCTAATGAGATCACGGGGTGGTGTCCTGGGCGATCTCCTCCCAGATCTGGACCAGGGCATAACTGAGCTCCTGGATGGTCTCAGGTACAACGCGGCAACTTCAGATGGACAACAAAATAATGTCCCAGAGGTGTTCTGTTTGATTTAGGTCACACAAGCATGGGGAAGAGTGAATAGTATCAATTCCTGGAATAACCATTTTTGCCAAGTGAGGCTGGGGATTGAATCCTCTGGATAAACCCAGGACCCATCCAAGGATTTCATCCCGATACCAGCAGCAGTCAGGGCGCTGTTGTCTAGCCTGTGGAAGTCTGTGACCACTGACTCACCACTGTATGGGTCATGGTAGTTAGGGGCAGCTCAGCACGCCTCAAATCAGACAGTTACTAGAACATTGTCTGCTCAACCATTTCCAATTTGCATAAAAATGTTTGGCTCAAAGTTTGGACATATATAATGCATGTTGGGAAAGTTTAGCTTCATAGATAATTTAAGATGTATCTTGTTTTTGGAAAAATGGCCCACTTTTAAACAATTTTTTTACCTATTGAAATCACATTGCAATGTTAAACATGAATATATAAAAAATAAAGGCCTGAAATTTTCACTGGTGTTTCTTACCACCAAAATGAATCAGGTGTGTAATTTTCGATAGATGCATTAAAAATTGTCTCAATATTGGCTCGTAAACATATGAAAAGAAGCCCAATGCTCCTGCTGGACTATCTGAGGACACACTAATATAAGAAAAGGCAAAAAACCCCAAAACAACTGGCGGCAATTTCTAAATAAACAAAGTTCACAATATTGCAAGATAAAACATGTAGAATCATTTTTACCATGAAATTCCTAGTCACACAAATTAAGAAAATGGCATTTAACTTTCAAGCTGGCTGTAGCAAATATGACAAGTTGTACCACAAAAACAAAAATAGTTTAAAACCTGAGTCACTACATCTGAAATCACTAAAGTTTTAGAACATTTTCTGTTAAACCATCTTCAATTTGCCTAAAATTGTTGTCATCCAAGGTTTGGATATAAAGGGTGGGCCATTTATATGGATACACCGTAATAAAATGGGAATGGTTGGCGATACGTTGAAACCAAGCACACCATTGTTTTTCTTGTGACATTACCAATAAGTTTGATGTGTCACATGGCCCTCTTCCTATTGAAAAAACAAAATTTTGTATCCAAGATGGCCGACTTCTAAATGGCCACCATGGTCACCACCCATCTTGAGGAGCTTGCCCCCTCACATATACTAATGTGCCACAAACAGGACTTTAATTTCACCAACCATTTCCATTTTATTACGGTGTATCCATATAAATGGACCACCCTGTATAATGGCTGCTATAAAATGTTCAAGCTTCAAATATCAAATACTTACTCATATTTTTTTCTTACATAGTTTACCAATACACAGCTATTTTTGATGTTTCTCTCCCATATTATAGATTCGTCCATTTTGACTAAAACTTTAGGCTGAGATATTCATGTTCAAATCTAGTGCTAGAAATTCAAACAGGCTTGAACCAAAGAACCAAAGAGTCCAGAACAGGATTAAAAATGTTATTCCATTTAAAAAAATTAAAAAAAAAATCCCTGTCAAAACTTTATTGGAAGAATAAAATTTACATTCAACTTTACAAAAAACAAAATCCCATGGCAGCCTCAAATCTCTGAACACAGAACAATCAACTCAAAAAACTAAATAGCTCAATTACTCCCAACTCATGTTGGTTATACACAGAACAAGCATTAAGCTGAGACATACTTTTATTAGACAGCCAACCTATTAAGAAACACCAATGCTTTTGTAATTCTTCAGCGCTTCAAATTTCTGACCGTGAAGCTTCCCCAACTTTACGGTCACATTAAATTTAAGAACTTCAAATTTCTCCAGAATTTCAGCCCTGACCGTTGAGTTTCTTAAGAACTTTCAAATAAAAGTGACTACATTATCAGCTTTTTACAGCTAAGGGGGGACAAACACAACAACAACAACAAAATCTGCCACTGACATCCCAAAAAGAAAAGTAAAAAACTGCCCCACAAAAAATACAACAAAAGGCAGAATTATGTTGGTGAATCTTGAGATGAATATGAGCAAAAAGCTGTGTATAGTTATACAGCCAGTGAGCAGCGTTTGGTACAAAGACATAGATCCAGATTTGTTGGATGATGGTCAGAGAACTTGCTGTTCTCAACATGAACAAAGCAAGAAAAACCAGAACCCTCACAGCAGCATATGCAGTGTGGCTCTTTGATGTATGTGCCAAAGAAAAATGTAACACCATGTGGTGCTTCGCCCATTCGGTACCAATTACAGTATACAGTTCTAAAGACTTTTACATTGAGCTGCCCATACTTTTTAGGGCTGTGTATCAATTCCCATCATCCCATACAAACAGACAAAACTCTGCTTCAAACATCAGTACCGGGATTACACTGTGACTGCAAGTGTGTTTGTAACAGTGACTTTCTATATCGTGTTGACTGCCACAGTGTGTATCGTCAGCTGTAATTTTTTTTTTAACATTGACATGCCCCTGTTAAGAGCTTAGAATACTGTGTGCACCTTTAGGCCAACATCTCAGCCCTGACAGCAAGGTTTGGTGTGATATTACTAGGAACACGATCAACAGAGACGCTTAATGCAGTGGAAAAAACATGAGCAGTACAGAAAAAGATGTTTCAGTGGATTTCATTGGATTGTGTTAGAATAGCTAATCATCCCTAGAAGCAACTAATGGCCTCATATTACAGCTGTGAAGTTGTGGAATGACTCATGCTCTCAGGAACAGCACATTATCACTGTAAAGCTCCTCAAGCAAAAGGTGGCATAGATAAATTTGGATACATTATGTATTAAATGATCCAAATCAGAGTCTTCCTCTGGAAAAAAGTGGTAATTAGATTCTATTCAAGTCAAGTTTAGACGTACAAAGAAAAAGCTTGGCTTATTCGGCATGAGGAATTTTGCACAGCATGTCGAATGTTCTTTTTTGGCCTCCAGTCTTCGCATAACTGGACTATGACATGGTAAATGGGAAGCCTGTGTCTCCAAAAGCAGGGACCACATAGGCACAGTGGTTGGTTGATAGTTTTTCACAAAAACTACAGTTGGAACCCTTTCAGACATAAATCAAGAACACATATGTCGGCTCACAGAGCTGGAAGAGCTTATTTGTAAATTCCAAGACATATACTGAAAGAATAGCAGCAGTTACGTCTGCTACTGGCTTACAAGCGTTGTTTGTCTGTTTGTCAGCAAACAAGTGTTCACAGTTTTCAAGATATAATTTTCTTATTTTTCATTCAATTCAGTTTTACTTATTTAGCACCAGACTGCAACAGTTGCCTCAAGGTGCTTTATATTGCAAGGCGAAGACCCTGCAATAATAAAGAGAAAACAGAAAAAACAACAACAATCAAATGATCCCGTATGAGCAAGCGCTTTGGCCACAGGGGGAAGGAAAAAATTCTTTTTAGCAGGAAGAAACCTCCAGCAGAACCAGGCTCAGGGAGGGGCGGCCATCTGCAATGACCGGTTGGGATTAAGGGGCGGAAGACAGGATAAAGACATTCTCTGGTAGTGAGCCACATATTAATAATAAGTAATAATTAAATGCAGAGAGGTGTATAAAAACACAGTGAGTGAAAAAAGGTTACTGAAGAAGAAACACTCCGTGCAGAGACAGTCCAGTCATCTGATAGGTGAGTCACAGCCCTGTTTAGCCTCCCAGCTCGATCAGTTCTTAAAAATGGTTCCCATCCTCTATGGGGTGAATTTCAGCGTCTTTCCTTGGACAGAGGTTTCTAGTTCCAAGATGCAGGACAAAGCGTTATAAAAACACTTTTGTCCCTGTTGTTGTCACCGAACTCAATAAGAATGGTTTTGATTTGATTCATTTGATTTAATTACAAAAAATGTGCATTTGTCAGGTTTTATTAGGTGTGTGTGTTTTGTGAAGGGATGCCAAATGCTATTATTTTTCTGTAAAGCAAATTTCCCTATGGGTATAAATAAAGTAACCTTAACCTTGGGTCACCTGATCCAGCCCTAACTATATGCTGTAGCAAAAAGGAAAGTTTGAAGCCTAATCTTAAAAGTAGAGATAGTGTCTGGGGTGATATGGTACTATAAGGTCTTTAAGATAAGATGGGGCCTGATTATTTAAGACCTTGTATGTGAGGAGCAGGATTTTTAGTTTTAACAGAGGATTTAACAGGGAGCCAATATAGAATAAATATGCTCTCTCTTGCTAGTCCCTGTCAGTACTCGCTGCAGTATTTTGGATTAACTGAAAGCTTTTCAGGGAGTTTTTATGGCGTTATTTTTGTGCCACTATTCTGAGCGCACGTAAGAAAATTTTGAGCGCACGTAAAAAAAGTTTGCAGGTGCAAGTGTTGCATTTTAAGGAGAAATTTATTTTGAGCGAAGAAAAGCTAAATTTGAGTGAACAAAATTCATTGCTGCGTGCAAAAAATTTATTTCAGTGTTTGCTATTATCCACACACACACACACACACACACACACACACACTAGCAGCCCCTCTCGCTCAGTTTTTGCATTTGCGCTCGCTCGCAATGTGTTGCTCACGCTCTCAACATTTCTGCCCGTGCGCGTTCAACTCTTTCTGTACACCGTTATAGTTGTGCCACAAAACCAGCCAATCATAGACTTGGATGCAAATCTGATTGGCTGTTTTGGTCTCCAATCAAATCGAAATGACGAAATGCAATATCCCAGAATCCCTTTCGTCCAAAATTCAAACGAGGCAGTAGCGGAGGAACAGCATGTTTTAACAAAAACATCATAAAACAAAGTTTTAGTATAGCTCTTGCCCTTCAGGAGGAATTACACTCTCTGAGTGCTCTTGTTTATTCTTTGATACTTCTTTCACAGCAGCACTGTCCAGCACTACTTTCAAGAAAATACTGGCAGAGGAGTTAGTACTGTGAACTCAAGTTGACAGAACAAGAAAATGAAAGGATCCATCTTGATTCTTTAAACTATAAATAAGATGTTTAATGATGCCATTCCTCTACTGTTCTTGTACTTGACTTTAACCAATGGTTTGTAACTTGTTCTAAACCCTCTGCATTTACATTCATAAAGGCATCTCTTGACTTAAGACTTTAACAATGGCATCCCTACGTAGAAGTGTTCATTATTTCATTAGATGTCAAAGGGTTTTTCTGTCTTATGTTATCAGTGACTAAAGTGCAAATCTGAGCTGCTGCTGACTTGTACCCAGATGCCATCTTTATTAGGTATTTGCAATAGATTGGTTTTTGTTCATTATGTTTGCAGAGATGCCAGTATCTGAACAGGGACTAAATCCAGCAAACATTATGTTAATAACTAGCTGGTTGAAGTTTAAGGTTTAAGTTTCCTTACTATTTTTCAAACTGTCCTTACATGCAGACTGTCTTTTCACAAAGTGTCTAAAGATCAGATGTTGTCATTTCTGAATATGTAATCAAAATGAGTGTAAATGTGAAGTACTTAAATAGTAATATTTTAATTTTCATTTAATAAATGAACATTTTAGTGCTGCCTCAGCCACTGCGTGTGTGTGTGTGTGTGTGTGTGTGTGTGTGTGTGTGTGTGTGTGTGTGTGTGTGTGTTGGGAAGGGGTGGAGGTGCCATCATGGAGACAAGCAGCCTTGTATTCATCACACAGTGTGTTTTCCTATCCATTTCATCTCCATGAACTAATGAAATAACCGGATGATCAAAAACTCATCTCATCTGCTAATAGAAGAGCAATTTTAGCTTGAACTTTACCATCGCTGGCTTTGTACCATTTTCTCTGAGGAAAACACAGTGTGATATGAAAATTGAGTGTCTGCTCACGAGTCCTCTGGAGACTGGCAGCACACAGCAACGATGAACTTGTCATCTTTCAATACCAGGACTGGCCTGGAAATGTTCTTTTCAGATTGTGATAGACCATTAATTAGCAATGAGGCATGTCGACTCGAGCTCAGGTGCTTCTATTACATGTTTGAACGGACTTGGCTGTTTGAATATTTTATGAGGATCATATCCACTTCCTGCTTGCCTGCTACTTGAGGTTGTAACATTATTTCATACAAGAAGATGCAATATGCCATACTCACCTTATTACCATTCTCAACTGGAAAGACTGAAAAGATTTTTGTATCTACTAAATCTTACTTTTTGGCAAGGGCTCTTCTCTCTTCAGGAGTATAATCGAGAGATCCAATGGCACCCTCTCCTTTTGTTGGCATGAATCCAATTATAGCTATGAGGGCAGTGCGAACTGGAAGAAAAAAAAGAGAGAGAGAGTGTGTAAACAATGAGGAGAAAATAGCAAGTGAATGAAAAACACAACGTAAGGTCGGGGGGCGGGTCCATTCCACTGCAGGACAACCTGCATGTGGCGAATAAAGCTGATTGAGTATTGACTATTGATATTCATTGTTAGCCTCACTTGGCCATGACAACCTGTTAATTGTCCAGTTTATGTTTATTCTCTGAACTGTCTGTTCTTTAAATACATCTTGCTTGTAAATGTAGATTTGGTAAAAAAATTATCATTCATATCAGCAGCAATAACATCGGGTTGTGTCAGTCAGAGTTCACTATAATTATATTGAAACAGTGTGGGACTTTGGCAAAAACTATGTTGTTTTCTCTGGTCCTCTGCCCAGTCGGACCTGGAGTGATGCATTTCGTCCTCAAATTGCTGGCTGTCTGAGTGGTGTCCAAAAAAATCACGTGGGCTTTTTAGATAATTGGGAAACTTTCTGGGGAAAACCTGATCTTATTAGGAGAGACGACATCCATCCCACTTTGGATGGAGCAGCTCCCATTTCTAGACATCTGGCGAAATTTATTAAACCCCCCAAAATGTGACTGAGACTTGGGACCAGTCTTACACACCTCTCTGCAACTTCTCTCTTCCTGTAATCCCCCCAAAACCCCTTCTTTTTAGCGGCTATCTGCTCGCAGACCACCAAAAAAAACAAAAGAAAAATCATCAAAAATACAATTTAAAATAAATTTTTTTTTTTTAAAAATCAAAGTAAGAACAATATAGTATCCACAACTGCACCAGAGTAAAGCTGTTAAATATGGATTGTTAAACATTAGGTCTCTCTTTTCTATGTTCCTATTCGTAAACGGCGATGATCTATTGCTCCATCGATCAATAGAGAAATAGATAGAAATAGAGAGAAATTTCAATTAAGTGACTGAAAAAGACACTAGGACGAAGACAAGAAGAAGCAGCAAATTTTAACAGCAGCCAGTCTATTGAAATAAGTCACTTTGGTGCAAACTGTCATACTTCAGTTCTGATGACTTGCTATCTCTAACTGTGTGTATAACCTATGACCAAAGTTTGTGAAAATAGCTGGGCTATAAACAATACACACAATACACTTCAGCTTACATTTTAAAAAATAAACAGTATTAAGTACAGACAGACCAGAAAACAGCTTGAGGAAAAACATTTGTCAAGATATTCATGAGTAACGATACCATATCTAAATAAATCAGCCTATGTAAAAAATACAAATTTAAATATTTCCCAAAGAGACATCAGAGGGAATGTTTAATTATCTGAAGCATGCTTTATTAAATATGCAGGCATATCATATGAACTAAAGCAGCCACCAAGAGTAGTGAGCATAAACCTGGAACCCTACAGTTGGCCTGTCTGTGACAATCGGAAGCACTGTTCAATTATCAAGTCAGGCCTCCTGTGGTCATTGCAAACAGGATCAGACACAACTTAGAGCCAACACTTTAAAAACCCAGCAGGGGAAGTCAAATCTCTGAGGCATAGCTGGCCATGTGACCTACAGTTTGTTGGTAAAAAGAAGTTAGGAGCAACCTTTGTCTTTGATTTAATTCTGTTATTGATTTGAAACTCTTCTTACTTAAGAGAGGGAGGCAGTAGAGAGAAATGCTTTGAGGAAGATACAGCATCTCCCACTGAGTTTCCACTGATTAAAGTTCCATGCTGAGAAGTAACATGAAAGCAGAACTCAGCAAACGGACCAAACGCCAGTTACAAACTAATGAGGAGTTCTTGGTAGTAATAAATTATTCGTTTTTACTCTCGAGGTGTATAAAAATACTCTTATATCAAGACCCTCAGCACAAGTTCATCTATCAACACCAGCACCCAAAGTGCAATACTGTTTAGGCCAGAAGCAGATTACTGGAGTGAGCTTTGTCATTTATATTAGAAAACAAATGTTTCACATACAAAGTTCATGCAGTACTGAAAAAGATCTCTTTGCATTTAACATACTGACTTTGGCAAGCAAGCAATCTAAGGACACTAAATGCAAGTCTAAAAAGTTTTAATTTTAGTTTTCTTAGAGGAAAGCACCGAGTGCACAGATCTCAAACTCAGGGGGAGAGAGTTCCAGAGTCTGGGGGCCAAAAGTCTACTTTAGTTTTCAACTCTAAAATAACAGGCCGAGCTAGAGCAGGAACAGACAATGTAAATGTTGATGGAGAAATAGTAATTCTTCTATTATCAATTTTTCTATCAAGACAGAAAATTTTCACCTTTATTTGAAGAGATTGGGGTGGCAGGTGGAGCAGGAGTAACAATATTACCAATGGCATCAAATAACACCTGAGGATTACCTCTGCTCTTTGTAACCAGATGTGAGAAATAGGCACTCTCGCATCTCTAACTGAACGGTTGAAAGAAAGATCCTTTATTAGACCATGTGCTCAGCTTATCGACAAGAACGCTTTAAGCAGCGAATGGTTTCATTTATGCGAAGGGAGAATTTGGAAACGAGCTAATTTCAGTAAGACAGTAATTATTAAAAAGATTTGTTGTAAGATCATAAGGGATAAGAACAACTTAAAAGAATCAGAGAATTTCTCAGCAGTAGAGGAATTTAAGGTGTGAGTGCTGACCACACGGCAAGCAGGAGAAAGACAAGTTAAAAATAATACAGTGATGATCAGAAGTAAAAATGTCCCCAGAACAAATAGAATCAATATTTAAACCCAAAGTAAAAACAAGGTCCAGTTTGTGTCCTTTGGTATGTGTGGGACTAGACACAAACTGAGTGAAATGAAAAGAATCCATGATGCCAGTAAAGCTTCTGGCAAAGAGGTCAGAGTTGTCGTCTACGTTAATGTTAAAATCTCCAACTATAAGGAGTCTGGGCAGCTTTATAGTGGAGGATAATAAGTCACTGAATGCCTTTAAAAATGGACGATACACCACAGGACAATAAAAAAAAAATAAATAAAAAAAAAGGTCTTATACCTGACTCTAATCAGCTGTAGTTCAAACGAAGAAAAATGTCTAACTTTTGCTGAATGACAGGGGAACTGGTGGTAAACGCTGACACAGGAGAATGAGGTATCTTGACCCGTCAGTGAAGATCGGATAGATAAGAGCAGCAGTCAATATGCCACCGACACACACAAAAACTACACCGCACTACACCACATCAGGACAAACTGCAGCCGCCAGCAGCAAAACCAAACACATGTATCATCATAAGGGCCTCTGACAGTGGACTCGTCTCTGTGCTTGTCCTCCTAGACCTCAGTGCAGCATTAGATACTGTAGACCAGGGGTGTCAAACTCCAGGCCTCGAGGGCCGGTGTCCTGCAGGTTCCAGATCTCACCCTAGGTCAACACAATCAAATGATTAGTTCAATACCAGGTCTCTGGAGAACTTCAGGACATGTTGAGGAGGAAATTTAGCCATTTGAATCAGCTGTGTTAGATCAAGGACACATCTAAAACCTGCAGGACACCGGCACCTAGAGGCCTGGAGTCCGAGACCTGTGCTGTAGACCATAATATTCTCTTAGAATGATTAGAGTATAGAACAACATACACAAGGACTAACAGACTCAAACACAGTTTCTACCCAATTGCAATATCATGTCTCAATGCTACTAAAAGTAGATGACTTTCATTGCCCCTGTTGTCATTTGTGCCCTTGATGTTGGAATGCTTTCAGACATGTTTTGTTGGATGCGCTAACAAATTGATTGAGTGATTGATTGTTTGAGTGATATATCAACTAGGTCGTATGTTGAGTGTCTGTATGGGGCCTTAGGCCTGGATTGCTTGGGTGTATCTACGGTATGAGAATACTGTATTTTATATGTATTTCTATCTTTTATATCCTATCATTATAGTTTTTAAGTATTTAATTATAGTTTTTAAGTATTTATCTTTTGTGATGTTGCACTGACCAGAGACATCTTTCAATTTCATTGTACCTGTGACAATGACAATAAAGAATATTCATTCATTCATTCATTCATTCATTCATTCATTAGAGCATGCTGTAGGTTTTACAGGTACTGCACTGTGGTGGTTTCTATCATATCTATCTAATAGACTCCAATTTGTTCATGTAACTCGGCCTTGATGACCTTGAGAAAATGCTGAAGCGCAAATGGGTTCTGCAGCAAGGCAATGATCCAAAACAGACCAGCTAGTCCATCTCTGAATGACTTACTGACACAGTGAAAACCTTGGAGTGGCCCATTCAAAGTTTTGACCTGAATCTGACTGAGGAGCAGTTGCATGACCTTAAAAAGAAGGTGTATTTTCGAAAACCCTCCAATGTGGCTGAACTATGACAATTCAGCAAAGATGAGTGGGCAGAGCTGTAAAAGAATCATTGCCAGTTACTGAAAACGCTTGATTGCAGATGTTGCTGCTAAAAGTGGCACAAACAGTTATTCGGTTTAGCGGGTAATCACTTTCTCACACAGGGCCATGTAGGTTTGGATTGTTAAGATAAGATAAGATAAGATAGAACTTTATTAATCCCTCGGGTGGGTTCCTCTGTTTCCTCCTTAATAATGAACACCTTCATTTAGAAACTGCATGGTGTGTTTACTCGTGTCATCTTTGTCTAACATTTAAAATTGGTTGATGATCTGAAACTTTGAAGTGTGACAAACATACAACAAAAATAGGAAATCAGGAATACTTCTGTACCAATTAACAGCATTAGAGCATCAGTGCTTACCTGGATGGTTTTGCATGCAAGACATCAGTGCTATTAATTAGTGATGATCATTTCAGTACTTTTCCTACACATCTCATTTCACAGCTCTACAAATTCTTTTGTGGAGCTTATTTCCAAATGCAACCTCTAAATACTTAGATTACCTCAGGGAATAAGATACGTATGGAGAACTGGGATCTTGTCTCCTATACTTACTACTCCAAGAGGGCTGCCAGGTTTCAGGATGGTGGCCAGAGATGCTCAGACAAATCTTCTTCCCAACTTCAAATCTCCCATTTGGCTAATGGAAGGGAATAAAAAGAAAGTGGTATTGGTACGTATGGGAAAACAGAGGCACAGCACATATTTCTCAAAACCTATGAACACAAACTGACATAAAAGTTTTGAGCAGTATTAACAAATAAAAATGAGGCTACTACTGTGCAAATGTCAGAGCTTTCAAACAAAAATCTAATTAAAAATTTGGTTCAACAAAGAACCAATAAAATAGTAGCTGGTGTCAGTGAAAACATGTGAACACAGTTTTCTCACAACAAATTCTAACTTTTATCAGTCATTAAAACATGTACCGCACAGCTGCCTGAATATAGTGGGAAAAGGATGATTTGATCTTGTGAATTTTTAAATTTCGACAGTCATTTTTGTGGTTGTTTCATATAAACAAAAATCCACACATTACATAAAGATCTATAACTGACTGAAATAAATATTTGATCCGTTTTCAATAAGCGCCTTCCTTATGGTCATGCAGCCTAGTCCAGCCTTGATTTGGGTTTCCTGACCACAGGACTTCCTCCCAACGTGAGGATTCTGGTTGGTGGTCAAATACTTATTTCACTCAATGACATTCAAATCCATTTTCAACTTTTTTATTATTATTTTTTATTTTTTTTACTGACATTCCATCTCTCAACATTAAAATGAAATTACCATTAAAATATGAAACTATTCTTTTTTGTATGAGAGGAATTCAGCATGGGATAAAATTAAATTTCCCCCACTGTGTGTGCGAGTTAATCGATTCCCCCTGTTTTATAAGTAAAATTAGAGCTGGATTTTAAAATAAGAGAAAAAAATGAAATGTTAAAAGTTATGCATTCAATGTTTTAATTAAAGTGAAAAACACAATAAAGGGAGAAGCTTGAATGTCCCTCGTTCTCTTTTACATCTTGACTCTACTAATGTTTGATTAATGGTCGCTGTTGTCACTAGTCGGTACCAGACTTTCTGCTAAGGTTGGGCGATATGTAAAAATTTTCCAACTGACATTCGCCGGTCCAATAACCGACAAAAGGCAATATACTCACGCAGGCGCAGACTTTTTGATGGGCGCTATTATTTTTTCTGTTGACTGCTTCTCCCTAGCTTCAGTCAACATTATCAGCAAACTTACTCACGGGCAAATAAATAAATTGGTCTTGTAAAAACGATCGGTGAAAGGCTCAGTCTATCATCGATGGGCAATATATTCGTCCAGTCACCCAACCTTACTTACTAGCAATTGAATCTAATTGTTAAAAATTTCTAGATCTTACGACATCTATCGGCCGGCCCGGGAAAGGCTTGAAGTTTCCTCGGATAAGCTGGAGGTGGCAGCAAGAGGGAGGTTTGGGCTTCCCTGTTGCAGCAGGTTTGTTTTAACTGTTTAAAGTATAATGTTGTATAATGCTGAATATAATGTACGTGTAATGTTGATAACGCACAAAACGAAAAGTTAAGCGGCATGATTCATTATTGAAGAATGGGGTAAATTGTTTACAATGCCTTTGTTATTAGTTTTTGAAATTTCCATGAAATGATTTTAAAATTGAACTTCATAGTTTTAGACTAGTCAGTCAGTCTCATTTTTTCCTGGCCAGGAACATCCTTAATCTTAGCACCTGAACTGTTCTGGAAGCTCACTTTCTTCCCCTATTACGTTCAACTCTCTGACTGTTTCAAAAGAAAATTGAGCTCTAGCTTGTTCCTCCAGGTGTGTAAGCCTGGGCTTGAATGGAATCAGGGCCATACATATGCTCACTGGTAAGCCTAGAACGATATTTATTTTTGATAATGTTCATTTTAGAGAATGTGCCTTGCAGTTATGTGTGAAGCCAAACATGGTCAGTGTATAAGGTTGGGAAAGTTGTCTGTTCTTAAAAATTGCTTTTTCAGCTTTTTGATTATCTGCTGCATCAGGAGAATAATCAAATGCAGCTAAGATGTGATCTTCATCTGCATCTTACTGTGAGTAGGATGATGCTGGGAGGTTTCATGGGGTATTCTGGGGGAAGTATGATCCTGCCGTGGTAAACCCCACCATCAAAATCAGAGTCTGGAGGACCACGAACAGAAAAGTGCCACTCAAAGAGATTGTCCTGCAGAAAGAAGGAAATATCATTTTAAGTAGAGCAGGGCAATATGACCAAAAATATTTATCACGATATATATTTGAAAATTTGCGATAACGACATAGCTGACGATATAATTGACACTAGACAAAACACTTTACAAATCCACAACTTTATGGGTGCAGAAAAAAAAAACATCAATGTATTTTCACTTAAACAAGCAGCTGTTTTTTTATGTGCATTAAAGTTATATAAAAAAATTAACAGTGCAAATGCAAATTCCTTGCTGACAGTTTAACCAAAAGGCCGACATATCCTCAGCATAACCATGTATAATATCCACAAAACTTAAAAAGAGGTTATACACACACAATACGGTAACATTATGTTGAAGTGCAGTACGTATCACTCCGCCAGGCTCCTGCCTACGATAGCCGTAATGCTCCGACAATCCATCAAGCGGTGCGGGTTCGTAGCTTAGCAAAGTCGTACTGAAACATTTGACAGATTTTCGAGCGCCGTGTACATAAAATCGTTTCGAGGTCAGTAAACACAACCAGAATTCATACATAAGGCACACGGGATTATAAAGGACACTGTCGATTTTCAGAAAAATCAAAGGATTGATTTAAAGTGTGCTGTATTTTCCAAACAACACGGTAATAACGACGGCCCGCTAGCATGCTCTACCAAAAATAGTGCTTTGTTGTGTATCTGACGGATGAAAGCTAAACCAGTTCCACACCACTGAAGTTGCAGCATTTTTACAAACCAATTCTGGTTCATCTGTTTCATTCAACGATCCGCTTTCGCCCTTCTCATTCTCCGTCGCCGCCATGTGCGTATGAAAACAAAGGCACTGTGCATGTACGTTTTACCCATATTCTATCACGATATTTCATTTTCTTATCGTTGCCCAACATTATACCGGTATTACCATGAACGGTGTGATATGGCCCAGCCCTAATTTTAAGAACATATTTCTGTCTGAGAAGACAACAGAAGGTAGGACTGGGCGAAATATCAAGTTTTAAAAAAAAAAAATCCATATACTTTGATACGACATATAAGATGTGACACTATCGTTTATATCGATATAGTCTACGTTTGCTATAATTATACTTGTGGAGCCAGTCTCTCTCGTCCAGGCTTGTCTCTACACGTCACTCTGCCCCGCCTCTATTTCTCACTGAACACAACTCGCCCATCGCTTCACCTGCAGGCAGCGACCAGATGGACACAGTAGCTATCGCAGAGTAGCTGGTTGGTAAAAAGAAAAACAACGGCTCAAATATTTGGAGATGGTTTGGATTCAAAGTGTCAGATGAGCAGCAGAATAATGTATTCTGTAGAGAATGACGAAAAAGCGTCCCGACAAAAGGTTCGAGCTCTACCAATCATTTTCACCATTTACAACAGCGCCACAGTGCTTGAACCTGCGTGCTGTATCCCAGACCGCGACGTCTTCCCAGCCTCCTGCCCCGAAACAAACCATCTTAAAGCCACAGTAGCCCATTATATCACTAAAGACATGATCCCTATCGCAACTGTGGAACAAGAGGGCTTTATACAGCTGATTATCTGATATTATCAGCTGATTTGAAATAAGAAAAAAATATGCTAAGAAATAAAAAGTGACTTGCAGAGCTAAACATCTCTATTGACCACTAGACAAATATTTTCAGAAGTCATAGCCAGCGTATATCTATCACTTATGAAAGTGAAACTAAGTATTAAATCCAATGAACTTACTGGAGTGTGTTTGTGTTTGTATTAGCTTGAGGATTGTGACACTAAATGAGGACCCCAGCTGAGACAAGACAGGGATATATAGTGAGATTTAAAAGGCCTAAAAGTATGGGTTATCTTATATAAAAGATTTTCAGAAAACTTGACTTCTGACCGTGAGGTCACAAAATTCAAAGAGAATTCGGAGAACTTTAATAACCATATTCTATCAGTTTGAAAATCCCAGGTCATGTCTTTGATTTCACACCAATTTTGACCTGCAGTCAAGCTCACTACAAACTGCAACTGATATCTATAGGTGAAAATTTTACACACTGTAACTTGAAGGCTATCAAAACTAGTAGTACCTAGTAGTGTAAAAGTAGCGTAAAAGTAGCTGCATTGCCTGCTTATATTTTCATTGTCATGCATTGTTAGACTATAGAGTAAAGTAATAGCATAAAAATGCCAAACTTACTTCTAGTGGTTGGGCATGATAGTGCTCTGTGGGATCCCTCAGTTCAGCAGCCTCCTTCATCAGCCTCTTCACCGCTTTCCATCAAAAGAAATAAAGAAAAAGGAAAAAAAAAGGTTACCACCTGCACGGAAAGCTACAGTACATCTGGAAAGCATTTACACCACTTCACTTGTACCATGTTTTGTCATGTTACACCCTTATTCCTAAACCGATTCAATTCATTTTTCACCTCAAAACTCTACACACAATGACCTAATCTTTCTTTCTTGCAAATTTATCAGCCGTCTGGAGTCAAATGTATAAATGACTACATCTGATTTTACTTTTATATTTCACCTTTAAAAACTATTTACTTTGACTTGCGGAGAATATGAAAAATAACAAGCTAGTTTTCTTAGACTTAGAAATGTCCATCATTAATGGGGGACAATGTCTATGAATCAGTATTTAAGGTTTGAGTCTCGTGAAATTGTGTGTCATCAGGACACCACAACACAGAGCAAACTCCTTTTTCACAGACACACAGCCGTGGCAGCAGAAGAATATCACATCAATAAGGCCCTGAGTAAATGTGCTTAAGCCAGCTAAACATTTGCCAAAGAAGAGTTGAAGCAGTTAGAGCCACAAAGGGTGAACCGACATTGTATTAAATCCTGGATTACTACTGGGATGCAGCTCAAGTTCATGTTTGAAGGCAGATGAGTAAATAATTTTGGCAATGTAATGTATATCTAAAGGCTGACAGCCTGAAAGCCAACTTTGGTATGTCAGTTTCTAAGAACTGTATGGATGATGATGATGATGAAAGTGAGGTATTAACAGCTTCATCAACATCTTCCAGTAAGCTTTGTTTACTGTGTTGTTTGATGTTTTAGCTTAGCATTTTTACTCTGGCTGTAATGAAATTACTTATTAACATGGTAGTTACGGTAAACAAATAAGAAACTTTCATTTATAACCAGTAAAAGTATAACATTATTATTTAACACTGTAGCATGCAAATACTGTAATGGTAACGACACTATCACATTACCAGATAGCAAGCAAGGCAGTTGGTGTGGTGTATAAAATGGTGTTTAACCCCAGAAGCATAGACTTGCATGATTTTTTGCTAAGTATCATTGGATATCGTTACTCAGTTCAACATATCAATAACACACACACAAATCTCAGGGTCGTGGAAAAGATATTAGTGTGTTTGAGAAGGGTCAAATCATTGTCATGCTTCAAGCACAGTAAACATCTAAGGGGATTGTAGAAACTACTAAAATTGGGTTAACAACTGTCCAACGCATTATTAAAAAGTGGAAGGATAGCGGTGACCCATCGTCTTCGAGGAAGAAATGTGGCCTGAAAAAAAATTCTGAATGATCGTGATTGCCGATCACTTAAACATTTGGTGAAATCAAATCAAAGAAAAACAATAGTAGAACTCAGGACTATGTTTAAAAGTGAAAGTAAGAGCATTTCCACACACACAATGCAAAGGGAACTCAAGGGATTGGGACTGAACCGCTGTGTAGCCGTAAGAAAACCACTAATCAGTGAGGCAACCCGGAAAAAAGGCTTCAATTTGCTAGGGAGCATGAAGATTGGACTCTGGAGCAATGGAAGAAGGTCATGTGGTCTGGTGAGTCCAGATTTACCTTGTTCCAGAGTGATGGGCACTAGATAGAAATAAATCTTGTGACATTGCAGAAACTTATTGAAACAATGCCACAGAGAATGCGTGTCGCAATCAAAGCTAAAGGCGGTCTAATGAAATATTAGAGTGTGTGACCTTTTTTTGGTGGCGACTTTTTTTTTTTTGGCCAATACTATAATATAAATTCCATATTTGCTCAGGTCTTAAATAACTGACCAACAACAAAATCCTCTTGCACTACCATTGCATTGGCACTCAAAGAAATTGTGATCAATGATGATTTCATTTTTTGCCAATATCGTTGAGTCCAAAACACTACAAAGCATAAAACATAGTGCTATATTTATAGTTACTACTGCATTCATTCAGATATGTCGCCACACAATTTCTGGAAAATTATCTTTTTTCAAATTTATCTTCCCAAAAAAAAAAAAAAAAAAAAAGCTCTGTTACATGCAAGCTAAAGATGGGAAGATAAGATAAGATAGAATTCAAAGGTGGTGATAGTTAGAGTTGACAATGCAATGACAACGAAAATGATAGTGAAATTAACATGGTTTTTCTTGGATTTCATTATGACATTCTCTCATTTAACGTATCTGTGCCTGGAGACACTGACAGGAACTACACTGCTCCTTATTGCCTGCTGAGTTTCATATTCATTTTCCATTTTTGGCTCTGTCTTAAATGGTACATAAACTGGTTCTTGTAAGATGCTTTTCTCCTCAAACTGAACACTCAAAGCGCTTTCTATCCAACATTCAGACACATACTCCAATAGATGCATCAGAGAGCAACATGGGGTTAGTATCTTGCCCCAAGCAGATTTGGCATGCACAATGGAGCAGCCAGGGATTGAACCACCAACCTATCCGTTTAGTAAATAACCTGCTCTACCTCCAGAACTGCAACTACCCCCATAGTAGGAAGAGATGACAAGAAAAGCCTTTCCCACACAACTGTCTCTGCAGAAGTCCAGTAACAGGCCCAAGGTGATAATCCTTATATGCCAAATCATCTTATGCAACACAAATGTTGACTATTTGCCACTAGGAATGACTCACACCAGGTCCAAAGGGATAAAAAGAGACACTGTTACATAATAACAAGCTAACACCAAAGACGTGAAAGGCATAGACAAGAGAATGAAAAGAAAAAGCATCTCCAGACTGTGCGCACGTCTACCGCTGTCACTACTATTATAGCATTTAGCTAAAAAAGGAGACCTAAAGCGCTACAGGTATAAAGACCTGCTCTCAAAAACCGTCAAAGGTTTAACGCTCTAATTGTTTAAAAGATTTAGAGCATGTTTAGTACCATCTTATGACGGTACAGAAATGTAAGCAAACAAGACTGATGTGGAGATTTTTGTTTCTATGTACACGCTGATGGATGCTAGGATTCCTGATCATTCTATAGTGAGAAACCCGGTTATGTTTGCGGTGTGATGGAGCAACCACATGTTTTAAATTGTTTGGGTGTGCTTGGGACAAAGACGACACCATTTTATTGCATAAAATACAGCCGATTGCATGTCGTGGACTGCTTTGCATGTTGACTGCATTGCTCTGTATACCTGGCCGATGAGGAGACGAGGGAGGAAAAAGTAAATATATAAACAGTGCGTTTGACTCCAGCTTGTCAGTCCAGTGAGTCACCAGTTCACCAGCTAAAAATAACACTTCATTAGAAGCTTATACTAACAAAACTTTGTGGTTGTATTTAATTTAACGAGTCGTTAGTCGCAGTAAACCCATCAGCAGATAACCTGGAGAAGATGGGCTACGTAAAAAGTGAAGGGGGGCGTGTTCACGGTCACGTCCAGCAGGTGACACAGCTATTCCACCTCGAGTCACTACTGCACAGACTCTGACTCCAAATGTGCAATACGGCAGCTCCCACAAGTGGGAAATTTTGACTTCATTTTTGTACTATGGAAGGAAGTGCAGCCAGGTCATGCATCTTTTCTACAGTCATTTGTTGTGAAGGGAGAAGAAACAATGCTGTCCCATAATTCATTGCAATGGATCATCCTACCATTCATGAAAACCCATCAACATAATAACCAAAGTTTCACAGAAATGGTCATTTACAAGTGCATTTAGCACTTCATGCCACAACCTGCTGATGTATTAAAACATTACAAATACACTTACTCAGCATTGTGGAGATTTAAAGAGGGTTTCTTTTTCAAAATAACCATCAATTGCCTGTGTCTATTACCTATGTGTCTATTAGGAAACCTGGGTGAGTTTCCTGAACATACTCACATCTTGAGAGGATGCTATTTAGTCCATTTGATCAAATCGGTGGCAGAACAAATTCTCATTAAAGCAACAAGTTCGCTTATGAAGTGCTCTGTAGTTATCTCAGTGTTCATCGCTCCTCGTTTTAAATCTCATTTTTAACCCAGATCAGTCACTCTGAGGGGAAACACAATCTCCAGCAGCTCTGCACTCAGGAAACAAGCCATTGTGATGACATTACATTATGTTGAGGACGCAGCTGCCCACTAAACTGTGTCTAACACCAGTTAATGTGGGCAGGTTTCCTACATCAGCAGCAGACGTTAGACAGCTGACAGGTGAACAGGATGCATGCATGACTGAGGGTCCTTCAAGCAGATCGGTGGTGTCATAAGGAAAATGTCAGCTTGTTAGTTATGTTTCTTTTTTTTTTTTTTTAATTGAGATAATTTAATTGTTGCCTGAAGCTAATGTTGAGACACATAGGCATTTGTACGAGCTGGAGATGTTGCCCTTTCTTGTGAAACCGCAAGACACACTGGCAAAGTGAGAAGACCATTTGATCTGCGGAAAATAGAGAGTTAACGTAAAAACCAGTTAACCTGGAACACTGGAGTCCAATTCCTTGTTTGTGAGCACAAATAAAGATGTTTCTGATTTCAGTTCATTTCTGTCCCAGTGAAAACTGAGAAACTATAAGGCTCACCTCTAAACACTCATTATCAGGGATCAGTGAAAAGGTTTTGGACAGCTGGCCAAGTTTTGACCCTGCCAGAACAGCTTTGAGCCATGCACGCAAAATGCAACTATCATAATCACAACAGACATAAGACATGATTTATATTCAGCGTTAAAGACTTTGTGCAATATACTGCAAAGTGCACAATATTTTTCATTCCCATTTTCGTGACTCATTTAAATCTTCTTCTTACGAAAGTGAAAGTCATAAAAATACATATACTGTTTTAAAACGTTTTTTTTAAAATAAACATTACGTATTATTGCTGTGGGTTGCACACCACCAGCATGCTCGCTATGTTTCTTAAAGTCAACCTTCAAAATCAGCAGATTAAATCGTCCCCATGATCACTAATATTACACAAGCAGCTAACGACAACGCTGAACACGCAGACGTGTCCTTAATTACGTGTGTAACGTCAAAGAACTCCGCAACACGAAAAGTGCAGGGACAGAGCCAGCCGGTACAGTTTCAACAGACAGATGGTTTGCTCTGAATACCGAAGAGTTTAAAAAAAATAAATAAAGCATCCCACACAACAGAAAGAACTCAGAAAAAATACCAAATAAAGGTGCCAGTGTAAACATTTAGATTGGGACGGAGGCTAATAACAGTTAAGCTAATTAAGAAACATTAAAGTGTTGGATTTTAGCTGTAGGATTTATCCTAGGGTTCTGAAAGCTGTAGAAGTTGTTTTGGGATCAGGCTTACCTGGACTCTTAAGGTTGTATTTGCTCTCCATCCTTAAAGAAACTGGGCACTGTCTTGAAGTTGTATTGTTTTCGTTTTCAAATACCTAGCTTTCAAATATTAGCGTTAGCTTCGCTTAGCAGCCCGGGTAGCTTGCTTCGTTCTTAAATCTGAGCGATACAGCTCAAACCGAAGGTCCCGCTCTCGCACCGGTGCTCCAGTCTGCAAGTGAGACAGAACGTGTTTCAGTAATGATGGGATATTTTTCAACTTCTCTGCTGTTTAGGTTTTGAAACGGTTTCTCTAACCTTATCGACGTGACGTCATTTACGGAACGTAAACAGGAAGTGAAATCTGAGGCTACGCAAGGAGTGCGCACATCACTGTTAGAAACGGTAATGGCATTAGTCTGGAAGTAAATCATTACCAAAGAATTAGAATTTTATTAGCAACAGGAAAGTGAAAGATTTAGATATAATACTGGTGATGGCCAAATGAAGCGTTCCGAAGTACTGAAGCTTCTCAAAACTGTCCTCTTTAGCGAGATCTGGTGGCTAGAAATATGAAGAACAGCTTAAATCAAGAACAAATAATGACCTGCTTCATTATGATTGGCCGCTCTGCAGAGCTTCTGTTTCATGTGACAGTACTGTGTGATATCGGGCTGATCTGGTGCTTTGAATATGTTTTTTGGGTGAAAAAAAATAATGTTATGTCTATTTTATTAGATGAATAAACTTTCCTTGTTTAAACATGTGCCATGGTGTTTTCTCCTTTTGCTTGTGACTTCGTTTTTTACTAATAAAAAAAATACACTATATATATATATAATAATGTACAGCACAATCTTACAATAGGTTGGGAGTATGCTTGTGCTGCGAGGTCCTTGCCTCCACGTGATTAAGTAATTAACAAGCGGACAGGTACGTTTATAGATAATATACTATAACTTCTATAAGACATTTCAGATGGCAGTTTCAGTAGAATAGTGTTTCGCTGTTTATAAATTCAGAATAATTCAGTACGTGATTTGCAGAACCTACCATAATATGAAGTCTTCACTGTGTCAAGATTATATTCCTTTTGTGTATTTTAAACATTTTTTAAAGTTAAGTTGTTACGTCCCCCCCGAAGGGGTCTAGGCGTGCGAGTGCAGTGTTGGGAAGGTTACTTTTAAAATGTATTCCATTACAGAATACAGAATACATGCCCCAAAATGTATTCTGTAACCTATTCCGTTACGTTACTCAATGACAGTAACGTATTCTGAATACTTTGGATTACTTAATATATTGTGGCGAGTTCAGACAAGGAGGAGACGGAGGTATCGTTTGGTCTTGCTTCCCGTGAGCTAGCCAGGGAGCACAGCCGTTTATTACATTTGCAGAAGAACACACTGCCACTAGCTAACTGCTCAGCGCGGCAACCACAACACACATAGGGCGCCCTCTGACCCCGGAAGGACACACCGTCGCAGCGAGAGGGCGTCACCCGTCACCATGGCAACATACACAAAACATAACTGTACAAGCAGAACCCCGAACAGCCCTGACCCGCTACAATATTATCATGCTTTTTACAACAACGTGAATGTACTATTGCTGTGTGATTTATTACTATTACTGAAGGTCCGCGACTCCGAACTGTAGTAAAGGGACCTCTGACTAATGCTGGGCTCACACTGTGCGATTTTTGGCCCATTTTGAGCCGATTTTTGAGTCGTGCGATCGTTTTGGCGATCGGCCCGATTTTGGCCTTCATCGTGCGTCGTATAGTATACGTGGGGTAACGAGAAGCGATTGACACCTCACGACCAGCTCCCGATCATCAATCGCTTGGTCGTGAGGGTGTCACCGCAGTTTGCCACACTGCGCACGCGCAAACACAAATGTCAGCGAAAAAGACGGCGTAGCACGGCAGTGCAGCGTGTGATCTGGACACAAGCGATGGAGGCACAACCTGTAGAACCATCCGAGCCCTTTCGATGTGGCCTCACAAAATTATCACGACCACAACAACCGTGAAAATAGTTGGATCGACACTGCTGCTCAATCACAGCTGCCTGACCAATGTTTTTCATTAGCAATTTAGCAAAGTTGATGGTGGTGGTGTGTCTGTGTGAGTGAAAGACGGAGAGGGAGAGCGAGCGACAGAATTTCTGTTATAACCTTCATTTTTATGGACGCACAGTGTGAGCACTCAGGTCGCATCAGAGCATCGGGCCGTATATTGTGAGACCCTGCATCGTGACCTATGAACTTCTAACTCCTGCGAGTCAATCGCATAGTTTGAGCAGGAGCTGAATCGCGCGACTGAAAAAAATCGCACAGTGTAAGCCCAGCATAATACGGCGGGGTCCCTGTCGGCTGGTAGCCGAAAAATAGCTCTACTTTGTTGTGTGGGTCAACTTTTCTTGCGACAGACAGAGAGAGGTGTTGAAAGGCTGCTCCAACGGAACTTGTTGTTTTCGGAGGAAAACACGAACACAGTGTACAGTCGAGTCTTAATAGCTTACTTACAACTGGGCTCGTCAGGCACTCTTCTTGGCTGCAGTGGCGTGTCTAGAAATTTTTTGTTGGGGAGGCCAGGTAGGGGCACAGATTTGGAGAAGGGTGGCAGATTTAATTGGCAGATAATGTTTAAAAAAAAAAAAAAAATTCTACCAACCCTTAACCATAATTCAATAATCCTATAAACCTATTAACCAAATGCACTTTTAACTCTTATTAGAATGAGATTTTAACCACTACGGTGCAAAGTTTTTAGATACTGCATTGATAAAGTACAAGAGATACAATCAGTGCTTTGTCAGTGTTTACTCAGCATTCAAGGACAGCAATATTTGCATAGTATTTTTACTGATATATAGTGCACATATGTTTTGGGCAAAAACAGTTTTGAAAATTAAAATACGAACATTTGTAACAAACAATTGACAAATTAGCCAATGCAAAACTTTATCTGCCTGTTAAAAAAAGAAGATAATCTTCTCACAAACTGGTGTTTGATTTTGAAACAGGAAAAAAGTGGGGAAACAAATGAAAAGACTAACATTTGAATAAAACCTGAAAGCAAGTAAATACTTTCTATGCTGCCTTATCGTAAACTTTGGTAATATTGATAAAGAACAACACTGGCTGATGATAAAATACAGTCAGCTGGCATGGTGACACTGCCAGTATTAACCTGCAGGGCTGGACTGGGACAAAAAAATTGGGCATTTTTACTACAGACCGACCCACCAGGTAGTAAAGCCATAAAGACTTTGACTGAAAACAAACCCTGTTGTGACAGTGATGTACAGTCTTGTTGGTATATGTATGATTTCTATACATTTTACGTCAGATAAAAACTTTGGTTGTAAGATTTAGATAATTATTTAATAAAAACTAGGTATTTTAAATGAGAATAAGAAAGAAAAGTATTTCTTTGTGCCCACCTTTCCCTGTTAATGCCCTACCTGGCCCCCTGGCAAAACTTTGCTAGACCCGCCCCTGCACAGTTACCAGCTGTCAGCTACATAAAAAAGGATCCTGGGGTTATTTGTCTCTCAGAAACAGTTCATAACTTCCCTTCAACTCATTCATGTCACCTAAAAGGTAAACCTGTTTCTCCATCACCTGTTCAGCTCTGATGGTTCAGTAAGGACATCTCCTGGTTTCATCTTCATGTTTCCCTCTCACCACATATCTAAACAGACATCATGACCAGCAGCTTTACAGCTGTGGCTCCAGCAAACATCAGCTGATACTAGAAATTAATATTAAATACATTCTAACAACAGCTGATCAAGCTTAAACGTGCTGCTGTTGTTTAGCGCGACATCCGCTGGTTTCCTCTTTCTGGCGCAAAGTGGGCGATAAACAAGAGAGAAAAGCCGATCAGCTGATCATTGATCAGTTTAATGATTGAAGTAGCAACAGGAGAGGCAGGGGGAGAGAATGAGAGGAGAAGCAGCTGTGCAGCATAAAGACAGAATAAATCCAGCTTTGTGTCTTTTTTCCATTCTAGCTGAAGTTCGGGACAAACTGCGTCTCTTCTCAGCTCGATACGAAACGTGTAATATTTTCTCTGAATGACGGACCATTCCATTTTTTTAAGGAGCCGTTGGCAACTCTACTAACCTTATGAATAAAATAAAGTTCACTATCAGTAACATCATAGCACCCACCCAGCTGTATAAAAACTCCGTCAAACTGGCTAGAACACAGTATGAGTTATTGCAACTGACAGTAAAAAGTCAGCAACATGAAAATAAACTCCACCTAAACTTGATTTATATCTGACCCAGACAGACTGCAGGTCATAACTTCTTACCTGAAGTTCAGTTCACCTGACACTCGGACTGGTGGCTGCTTCGGGTCTCTCCTCCTGCCTCCCCTTCCCTCATCCACCTGTTGCCTCTGTGGAAGCCCCGTCATAGCCACCACCAAACAACGGAGTTATTTCTACACATCGACCTGCATCTGGCCAATCCACCACCTCTCATTGTTCATGCCATTACAAAAAAAATAAAAAATAAGTCACTGGGGATATTCCCGGTATGCCCGATGGCCAGTCCAGCTATGTTAACCTGCAACCAAATCTGCAGCTCCATACAGCAATGTTACGACTTAGATTATATCTTATAACTCATAACTCTTATGTTAGCTGCCCTCAGTAGCATACTGTCTGAAATATTCCACAGCTGCAATAATTCTTTAAGTGTTATTTTTTCCTTGGTATTCTAATTTCACCGAAGTTTACTAAACTCAACAAACTTAATATTACTTACCGGGACATTTATTCTGTCCTCATTTTCTTTCACCGAAAAATTGTTTCCTGCAGTGCCGTCTTTCGTGCTTGGCTCTCCTACCTTTGCTAACGTGATGGCATAGCGCAGAAGCGATGCTGCATTCACTTACACTCGGATATCTGAGTGTCACCGTGAAAACATAATCGGACATTTGATATTTGATTGAATTTTATTGTTTTGCCTTTGGGGTGGCACCTGGGGTGGCCAGTCTGGTTTGGGGGGTGGCCTGTGCCCCCCCCCAGGCCACCCCGCTGGACACGCCATTGCTTGGCTGCAGTGGTTATTATTATATTTACATGCTTCCAGCTCCCGTTTTTGCTCGATGACTGCTCGTACCTTTCCACTCCCCTTTTTCTCCCTCCTAGCGCTCACAGACACATAACCTGTATGGCAGTCCATTCTCCCAGCAGCACGGACTACACTGAACATGATGCTACATTCTTTAGAGCTATGCTTGTAGCATTCTGCCTGTTAGCTTAGCACAACAACAACAACAACAACAACGAAAAGGCGCAGAGAGAGAGAGCGTCGCCCTGTAACCATGGC